AAGAGTTTGACATTCAGACATGCACAGTGATAAGTGCTGGCCATATCATCCAACAGAGATCTGCCTGGATATTACTCAGATGTGATGTTGGTCCTCAGGTTGTTCCAAAGGGCTTAGTTATGGAAGGAGAGGTCAGGATATTGATTCCCTGCCTCACACAGGTAGTACGACTCAGAAGCCCAGCTCACGGATTCCAAGGATGATGTGGCTGAGATGCTATCGGGTTATCCCTCTGTCTGCAGGCAAGGCAGCGCCCAACCATCAATTAATGTGACTTCAGGGTAGGTAACGAATCAGTAGCATGGTTGCAATACCATGAGGACTCCGTCCTCAGCCTTGGTTATTAGATTGCAATTGATTTGGCAACATTTAATAGCAAAAAATGTTTAATGACAAGGTTTTCTGAGGTCACTTACTCATCAGAGGCGTCTGTCTCCCATTGCTCTGTTACTTTCAAGGGATGAGAGAAAAGACTGCTGAGGTCACTGGGAAGTCATGAAAACTGTGTGAATTTCACTCTATTCCCAGCCCCCTAAAGCCCCTGCTAGGAACAGGATCTTATTACATGATTGAATTTCAGTTTGTTCCTCTCCCTTTCAAAACCTTTATCTTGTATTATAAATTATTTTTCAAAGCACACTGAAAGTATTATGAAAAATATTTATTATTTCAAATTCTTGAAAGATTACTTTGAATGAAAAAGAGGAAATGGAAATATGAAAGAAAAAAATTGATAAATGTATATATTAAAAGTTAAAATTTTATATCAAAAATAGTACCGTAAATTATAAAGTATCTACTAGGAATATAGAAAAAAGGCCCTTACAAGTCAATAGGAAATATGCAAGCATACTAAAAAAAATAGGATGAACAAAGAACATAGAGAGGCAATGCACACACCAGAAAAGAAATACAAATGGCAAAAAATAATTGAAAAATGTGTTCAATTTTACTACTAATCAAAGAATAAAAAATCAAAAACAAACACCTTGTCTTTTTATGTTACAGTGTCCATTCATTTTATACAGATTGGAAAAGATTGAGTGTTTAACAAATGTTCATTGTTGGAGGGGAAGCGAGGAATTGGGCATTCATGCTTCATTCGTTTGGCATAATTATTATGTAAGACAATATGATGATTCATTCATTCAGTACATACTTTATGATGTATAAATGAATTAAAATGTAAAGTGAGCATACTCTTTTACAGCATTTGAACATCTCTGAATAGAGCCTAAGGAGATAAGGGAATGATAAGGAAAAATATATGTATAAGAATTTTCCCTGTAACTAATTACAAATAATAAGAGCACAGCAAATTACAATATATAATAATGCATAGTTTTAAATGAACAAGGCATTTATGTATAAAATGTTAAAGCTTTGTTGAAAATATTTTAAAATATCTAAGTAGAAATCTATAGCATATGTTCATGGTATATGGAAAGAAAAAGTAAATATCATTAAGATGAAAATCTTCCCCCTCCCCCCATGGTATTATAGGAGTTTGATACAATGCCGGTCAAAACTCCAACAGCACACTTTGCTTTGCTTTGTTTTGTCTTGGCTGTGTGGAATGTGACAAGTTTACCCTAAAAATTATACAGAACAAACACTTGGGGTAACGAATGCTTGCCATAGAGTAAGTACTTAATAAATATTTATTATTTTACATACACTATATTGACTTTCTATTTTGTTTTGTTTATATGAGTTTTGCTTTCTATTCTGTTTTGTTTATATCATTTTGAACTTTATTTTGATGCGATCAGTTTATCAAAATTTCCCTTAAACATTTCTTCTGTTTTTCTTATACACCAAATTTGTTTCCATTATGAGTCTATCTTTGTGATTCGATTTAAACATTTAGCTCTTTAATCTATATGAAACTCATTTCGTTATAGAATATGATATGTTGGTGTGTGTGTTTTTTCCAGTTCTATAGGACAGGCACCAACAAACACCATCCCAGGAGTCCATTCTCAGACCCTTGGTGCAGTGACAGTGAACAGTGGAGAGGAGTGGTGGTGACTTAGACCAACTGTGACAAGTATCTTGAAAAATGCACTTAACCTCGCTGGGCCTGGATTTCTGCTTTTGTAAACTGGGGGCTAAAAATGGGCCTGCTCATAGCATAGCATAAAGTGAGCAATATGCTAACACAGTACCTGACATATTGGAATTGCTCCATCACTGACAGGACAATGTTACCCAGTCATCAGAATGCAGGACAATGCCAGAGTAAGAGATGTTTCTCAGGGACTCCCCAAGCTAGCTGAAGAGATTGGTCCAGGACAGTGAAGGAGGGTGATGATCTCTCCCACTGAAGCATCCATCTTATATAAAAACTGCTGTTTGAAATTTTAACCCTGCTATTTCTGGCTTCTGTAAATGCTTGCTGGCTTAAATAATAAGGAAAATAAGACTACTCCCATTTCAGAGAGGCCATTAAACCTTCTCCAGATGAAGTTATCAGTGCTGGCATCAGGCCAAGCCTTTGGTCGAGGTCTCAAAGCGCCAGCACATAGGGGCTCTTTAAGAACTTGCAAAGGGGACCGGTACAGAACCCCATATTTGGGAGACAAAGAGGGTAAGATGGTATAAATACAGGAAACTTCCTGTGTGATTTCGCCCAGAATTTGAGAGACATTTTCCTCTGGGCCCGCGCGTAATAATAATAAATGTAACTCCATCTCTCTAAGCGTTGCTTGGTTCTTCTCCGGTTTTGCTGTAACACCGCTGGTCTGACTGCCTAAGGCTGGGAGGAGGGTAGTCAGAGAGGGCATTCTGGACCCACTCCTGCTGTGGGACAGTGTGGAGATCCCAGCCTCAAACTGCATGAGAATTGTGGAGAATGTCCTGTGCGTAAGCAGGAGGGTGCCCGCGTATGGGAAGCAGAGGAGAAATTAAGTCCAGCCACTACTGCTGGACACCGGTTTCTGGACTCATCAGAGAGCCAGGAGAAGGAAAGACTCACAGAGACCCTGCAGAATTTTGTTTCCTTGTTTTTGAAGAGCTTTTGACCTTGAAGCATCTGTCAGGTCCCATCTAAGTGTCTCTGGCTCTTAGAACTTAGAAAGAGCAAGAAAGAGGAAGAGATAATGTGATCTCTTCTAGAGATAGTATTGTGAGTGTTTCTACCTTCCCAGGAGGAGCCCCATCCTAAGTTGAAGCAGTTTTCCCTGCCTGAGGGAAGCCATAGGAGTAGAGGAAGCCCCCAGAAAGACTCCAGTATGGTGTGATAGCCTATCCCCTGAACTTAGGAAGTCATTCACCTGAGGCCTGAAATTCTGCCTCTGACCTTTAATGTCCTCGGTCCTAACATGGAAACACCTAGTATTACAGGTATTATAATTTATAAGGATTCCAAGTCAGATGGGAAAAGAGGAAACACATATTGGGCAGTCCCAAGAGAAAAATAAAAACAAGTTATATTACAAGGAAAGAGGACAACCTGAGAATATTATCACTGAAGAACTGTAGTGTTAAAGTGGGCATGAAAGTAGAAGCATTAGGGCAGCTCCCTGGAAAAAAAGTAGAGGCTGATTTACATCCATCCAGAATCAAAACCTGCAGTCACATCATTGGAAGGACCACCAGAAGCACAGAGGCAATTTCATCTCTCACAGACATTGTTTCCAAGTTCTTAACACTCTTAATGAAGATTGTGTATATGTGTCTATAATTTGTGATTCTGATTGTACTCTGTGACAATAGAAACTGTTTGAGGTCCATGTGCAGAAGTGACCTTGAAATTTTATTTGTAATATAGCCGTCTACATTTTTTGAAGTATGAGTTATGTGGGGTCATTTTATAATTTTGGCTGAAGGGGGAGCATGGTGAAATTGTTTGAGAGAAGAGGAAGAGAGCAAGGGTATCAGGAAGGAGGAGTTATGGCTGAGTAGGACAATAGGTCCCCTGCCTGATTCTGGGTACTGATAATTAGGCTTTTGTTACTCTACTTCAAGCCCACTCTTCAACATCTGGCTTTTGGATGTTAGTTAGGGTTGTCACTCTGCAAACCACCTTCCTCCTTTGCCAGCTGGCTTCCTGTAGTCTCTGCCACCAGGGGGAGCTATAAAGAGATGAAAGGTCAGGCAGAGGGACAAGGGCCAGGCTCCCTGCTGTCTGCTCCTTGTTAGTTTCCTGTATCTCTCCAGGTCCTCCCAACCTTACCTCCTCCCCCAGCCTTGGCCATTTGTTCCAGTAACATGAGTGGGTTCCAGGGTGCAATGTTCCCGGTTCTCACAGAGCCAGCCTTGTGCCCCTTACAGACCTGAGGACACCACCAGGTGCCACCTGCTCCTCAGAGGGTCCAACCACTAGGGCCTCTCATCTGAGCTCAAGGATCCCTGCATCAGTAAGCAGGGCCCCCTCCTCAGAGGCCTGAGTTTTAATTTCATGGGACCCCACCTCCAAGTTTCTGAGTTTTAATAATTCCAGCATCTCTCCCTGTGTCTCCCATTTATAGGGGTGGTAGTAGTTAAGGTTACTACCTCCATGAACACTTATCAACCCGGACGTGTCTTTTCAGTTCTCCAACACCAAGTCAGCAATTCTTTGGATACTGTTCTTCCTGTTAAAGGAAATCCCGTAATTTTCATTTCCTGACCTTCAATGGTAGAGGGACTAGTTTCAGCTCTAATGACCGGCAGAAGTGGAAGGAATTGTATTTGTGGGGACTCTCAGAGTCTTGAAAGCAAGCAATGCTGGTTCAGGGCCCAGGTGGCCAGGAGAGACAGAACCCAGACCAGACATGTTTACCTTTCCCAGAAAGTGTATAATAAGAGACAACAGTGGAGAACAAGTTGGGGAGCAGACTGTTTATTGTTTCCGTTCAAGAAGGGGTCAGCCACAGAAATAATCTGGGGTTCCCAGGGCAAGCTGCAAAGGTGGGATCAGAGGTCTGGAGATGAGATGTTCGAAGAGGACACAGATTTCTGGATTCCCAGTCAGAAGAATCTTCCAGAACAGAATTTGAAATCTTCACTAAAATGTCTCAGCAACAGAGGCAGGCCCAAGGAAGATGGTCTTGCCCCTTTAGTGCCTCTGATGCTGCTCTTCTTGGCTCCGGGTCCACTTTAGCAGCAGCCTCCAGAGGACTGGCCACAGCCCCCTCCATAGCTGGAACCCCCTCCATAGCCGGAGCCCCCTCCATAGCTGGAGCCTCCTCCGCAGCAGCCTCCAGAGGACTGACCATAGCCCCCTCCATAGCTGGAGCCCCCTCCATAGCTGGAGCCTCCTCCGCAGCAGCCTCCAGAGGACTGACCATAGCCCCCTCCATAGCTGGAGCCCCCTCCATAGCTGGAGCCTCCTCCGCAGCAGCCTCCAGAGGACTGACCATAGCCCCCTCCATAGCTGGAGCCCCCTCCATAGCTGGAGCCTCCTCCGCAGCAGCCTCCAGAGGACTGACCATAGCCCCCTCCATAGCTGGAGCCCCCTCCATAGCTGGAGCCTCCTCCGCAGCAGCCTCCAGAGGACTGACCATAGCCCCCTCCATAGCTGGAGCCCCCTCCATAGCTGGAGCCTCCTCCGCAGCAGCCTCCAGAGGACTGACCATAGCCCCCTCCATAGCTGGAGCCCCCTCCATAGCTGGAGCCTCCTCCGCAGCAGCCTCCAGAGGACTGACCATAGCCCCCTCCATAGCTGGAGCCCCCTCCATAGCTGGAGCCTCCTCCGCAGCAGCCTCCAGAGGACTGACCATAGCCCCCTCCATAGCTGGAGCCCCCTCCATAGCTGGAGCCTCCTCCGCAGCAGCCTCCAGAGGACTGACCATAGCCCCCTCCATAGCTAGAGCCCCCTCCACAGCAGCCTCCAGAGGACTGACTACTGCCTCCTCCACAACAGCTGGAGCCCCCTCCAGAGCCTCCTCCACAGCAGCTGGAGCCTCCTCCAGAGCCTCCACAGCAGCAGCTGGAGCCCCCTGAGCTGCAGCAGCCAGAGCTTCTGTGTCTGAGGCGGAGAGACCTGCGGGGCCTGTGGTGGCTCAGGCAGCAGCCACCACCCCCAGAGCTACAGCAGCCACCACCCCCAGAGCCACAGCAGCCCCCAGAGCTGACACTGCAGCAGGAAGAGACTGGGGGGCACTTGGGGGGACACTTCGGGGGGCATTTTGGGGTGCAGCACTTGGGAGGGCACTTGGGGACACACTGCTGGCTCTGCTGGCAGGACATCTCGGTGGGCAGGCGGGCAGGCGGGCAGGCCGGTGGGCGTTCAGGAGCTGAGGGAGAGTCAGACAGCAAGTCAGCCCCACACCAGAGTCCACCCCTGCCCCTTCCTGTCCTTTTAACTGATGTTCTAGCCCTTTTACTTTGAAAGTTGTGAGATCAGACATAGGAAAACCATCTCTGACCTTTTTATCAGGGTTTTTGTTTATCATGAGTCTCAAACCTCATTTGGATGGTTGTCATACAATATCATCTCCAAATACATAAGGGAAGTTGATGCCTGTTAATATTTCCTAAGTGTTGGAGAGAAGACCAGGCAATAAATTTGCTTCAGGACATCATTCATTCTACCATGTCACCAAGAATCTTGAAAATGTCCAATGTAGGATCATTTTAGAGCTAAAGCTTCTTTAAGAAAAAAGCAAACTCATTCTCTCTGGAAAGGATTTCTGATATGGTTTGCTTTTGCAGAATGGAGAACATTGTAACTGCAAAGTGCCTTGGAGTCAATTTGTCTCAATCAATTCCATTTATAAATGAAGAAACTAAAACCAAAAGAAGTGAATTCACTGGCTCAATGCTTTTCACTACCATGTCACAGTTCTGTTCCCAGGTTCCCTGATTCTCAACCTCACACTCTGTCCTTTATAGTCCTCCTCCCCAGGCCTGTCACAGGGCTTCGCAACCCATTGTGTCCCCGTCTCCCATCATGGATCTTCCTGGAGTCTAGGCCGATCCACACTGGCTCTTTCTGTTTAGTACCAATGTCCTGAGCACATGGTTTCTACAACTGGTTATGGCTGTAGTTCCAAAATTATATTCCCACTCTACAACCCATTCTAGCATAATCTAATGATCAATGTTTTTATTCTCTAAAGACAAAGAAACACACCCAGCAACTGAAAGCAATTTGGTTTCTCTAAACCTCTAGCACCAGCCACACAAATCTTCCCGGTTACCTTGGTCTCTCTCACCCATGCACCCTCGCTCTTCTCCTTCAGATTTTCTGGGCTCTCATCCTTGCCAACCACAACTCCAGTCCCCAAGGCCCTGCCGACCTGCCTTCCTGTTCTGGTCTGGCCTCCCTCTATGATAGGCCCTGCTCCATTCCCAGTGGACACTTACCAGGTACACAAGCAGCACAGGGTCTGTCACTACCTCAGGAGGGAGTGGATGGAGATGCTCCATCCCCACGGCCCTTTTATGCTGGGCTTGAGCTCTGCCTCAGTGAGTGAGACAGGGCCTGGGCATGAGAGGACCGCCTCCTGACACCCACATGGTCCTATGACAGGTGATGACTGGCCACACCTCCCAGCCTCCATCCATAGGGCCATAGGGCTCAGGGCAGCTGCTCCTGGCTAAAAAAAAATAAAAAATAAAATACCTGCTTAAAATGTGGGATTGTGGTGAGTAGAAATGAACATCATTGTTCCTCTGTTGCCTTATGTTCTATGGAAAATGGTTCTCCATTCACACTTATGGACCCTGGTCACACAACTCCTTTCCTGCCACCCTAGATATTAATTTTCCATCTGGACTTTGGATCTTTTTTGCAGGATCTACAAATTAATTAAGATGGCAAAAGGGAAATAGCAAGTAATATGCAGCATTTGGCAACATTTGGGAGATAGATACATAGATAGATAGAGAAATAGGTGCCCATATGGATTTTTAATGGACAGTGGGATTTTTTAAAGTCACATATACCTTTTAAAGTAGATGGATCTTGTTCAAACTAAATGGTATGTTTCCCTCCTATATATATCAATGAGTTTTTGCTTCATGAATGTAGATCCAGAATGAGTGACTAAAGCTGGGCATATTGCCCTAAATTATAACCTGAAAATAATTTACAGTCTTCTATGGCAAAGCTGAAGGGGTGAGGTAAAATAAAAATGGGAAGGCTTAAGAGAAGACAATGGCTTATTTTAGTGGTCGTAAAGAGTGGGTTCAAGTGGTGTCACTGATATACTTAAGAACAGACGTATTGATTATTCAAATTTAAATTGTTTGCATTGTTGCAATATAAATTCCCCACATTTCCCATGCTCAGAAATATGGCTGAGAACAGATTGGTTCCAGATTGTGGGGAGACTGTTGTCATGGCCCATCACTGGGTTTTATTGAATGTTCACCAGAAATCCACTGAAGGTCTTAATTTAATTTTATTATTATTACTTGCATGTGTGTCATTTTAGCAGGGTCAGGATAATTACATTAGTGTTGGATCCTAATATGGAAGGAGACTGTGTGTGGGAAACCGTGGGATAGAATATAACAGCAGTCGGCAATGGGATGAGATAATACTATCACCACTAATCCCCCAAATGTCACTATAGACCTGTAATCCCTTATTCACAATCTCCATATCCAAAGACCTAGTGGGATAGAATATAACAGCAGTCGGCAATGGGATGAGGTAATACTATCACCACTAATCCCCAAATGTCACTATAGACCTGCAATCCCTTATTCACAATCTCCATATCCAAAGACCTCTGAAAACAGAGGTTCTTGTCCAGCTGTTGACAGTGAGGTCTCTTTATCTTACTGTGGATATTCATATGTTCTGTTGTAGACATATTATTGGTTTCCCCAAGGGGTAAGAGTCCTGAGCTATGGGGTGTGGGGAATCTCGACTGCACACCAGATGTGGTAGACTCCTTGGTATGAATTCTTTAGTGTTGAGATTGGACATGGCCTGCACTGAAGTATACCTGTAGCATTGTTAATAAATTCTATTCGCTGTACTGTTGAAACTGAATGAAGTATACCTGTAGCATTGTTAATAAATTCTATTCGCCATACTGTTGAAACTGAATCCAAGGTTGAGCTGCCTGCCACCACAAAAGCCAAACTCATGAGACAGGTATTGGTGAAAAAGGAAAGAAGTTTATTCAAGTGCCAATCACCTGAGAAGATGGGGGACTCTCATCCCAAAGCCCATCTTAGCATCATAGTGCAGACAGGTGTTTTTATAGGAAGGGAGAAGGAAAGCAGAACAAAAAGATCAGAGGAACAGGCTGTGGACATGCAGGCAGTGTCCTTGCTGGTCCCCAAATGGATCTTTAATGTCAGCATACTGGCACTGGTCAGTGCTGGCCAAATTCCTGCAGTTGGGTGATCTGCACCAACCAAAGTCATGGTCAAGGCCATTTCTTGTCCAAGGAAAGCTGGCACTGCTGATGCCTGCAATGTGCTTATAAGGAAACGGACAGTATGTAAGTTCCTTTTATCAATTTGCTAGTACATTTTATCCTAATTTCATTTCTTGGTTAGTCAGAATAGTATAAAGTTTGTATTCCCGGTTACACTGTCCTCCTTTAAAAAAAAAAGTTTTGAATTTCTTATGGCACCAAGGGTTTCAGATAAGGGATTATCCTCTCTGGTTTATACATATTCTTAGGTCACTAGTGGAACACAGAACTCGAACATTTTTTCAGTAACATCAATTTATCTCTGATTGTCACTGCTTTGCTAGGGCCTTGCTGTACCAGTCTGTCTACCAAAATTCACAGAGTTAAGCAAGCCTCAGGTCCTCCCCGTGTTTAACTGACACCTCAAGATTTTCCCTCCTCAATCACACTATCCACCTTAATTCGCAATTCATTCTTATATGGTGTGTTTTCTTTACTCACTCTCAATTACACCATTGCATTCAGTGGAGGACCCAAAAGAACAAAAGTGTGGGCATGCTTATTGCAGGCCCTCCTAGGGTCTTTGTGCATTTCCCTCTCTTTTGTTGGGGCCCAAGACAAAATATATCCCATATCTCCCACAATGGCATATTGATTGGTTTGCATTAAACTAATAGATCAGCAGCCAGTGCCAGAAGGGTACCGTGACCCTCCTTTGTCTCCCTGAACGCAGGAAATAAATCTCTCATGTGGAAGATGTCCTTCCATATCCTGGAAGACACCCCCTTATTTCTAGAGCGAAACAGCTCAGAGCGAAGAGTCTGTGTCATCAAGTTTTACCGCCTCTTTTCTAATTTATTACTTTGTTTCAGTTCCTCACTAATGAAGATCCAAACCTTCCTTTCTAAGGAGCACTACTAATTTTTTTTCCTGTCAGTTTCTCACAAAGGTATTCTTTCTTTGTCTAAAACATACAAAGGTGCCTGGTTCAAACGTTTCTTTGAGCCTCCTTTCATATTAAATTGTTTTTTCTCCTGTTAATGCGATCTTGTGTTACTTCTATTATTAGTCCAGTCATAAGAACTCAAGAAGGGGAAGGGGGGAGGGGGAAGGGGTTCTCCCCCTCCCAACACTGCTTTTGCCTATAAACCCTATTAACTGATCGTCAGTACAAATTTCTTCTGTTTGTGTTAAAATGTCCTGTGTTAGGAGTTTTCAAGACAATGGAAATTCCTGATTATAATTTTTTCAGGTTGCCATGGGCATTCCTGTGCAGAGTTAGAAAGGGAGTATTTTGAGCTACTGGGTAAGTTTGCCAAATAATTATAATAAAGAGTCATAGATAATCTATTAGTCATAATAGCCGAGATCTTTCATAATCAGCACTCAGTCCCTTCAAGAAAAAAGTAAGTTCACATAAAGCTGGAATTCCTTGGCTGTGTTTACCTGTGCTCCTGCCTTACTTTCTAGAGCATTTTTTATTGCTCAAGGGGAAGGATCTCTGTTGGATTGGGAATGCCCTGAGGTCAAGCTCTGATTGTCTTTCCTCTAACTCAGTGGGTGTCAGTGTGGGTGGATTTGGTACCTCCCACCCCCAGGGGGAGCATTTGACAATGGAGACACATTTAGTCCTCATAGCTAAGGGGGAGTGGGTTGTGCTTAGGCCAGGGATACTAATAACACCCTACATTGCAACAAGATAGTGCTCCCAGAACAAAGAATTATCCAGCCCAAAATGTCACTAGTGCTGAGGGTGAGAAACCCTGCTTTGCTATAGGAGGCTTAAGACTGCACTCATTGGAAACAG